CTACTCCAGTCTGAGATATTCTGTATGATACAAATGTAAAATTATATTTGTCACCGGGCGGTGGTGGAGCACGCCTTTAATCCCAGCACTCGGGAGGCAGAGCCAGGCGGATCTCTGTGAATTCGAGGCCAGCCTGGTCTACCAAGTGAGTTCCAGGAAAGGTGCAAAGCTACACAGAGAAACCCTGTCTCGAAAAACCAAATATATATATATTTGTCATACTGTATAAGTATTCTACCTCTGTTTAGGATATTTTGTATATTGATACATATTAAGGATATTGTTGTCATATTGCACTATACATTTCTACCTCTGTATAAAATATACAAAGATATATTTGTATATTGTCACAACTTCAAGGTCATTGTCCCTATACTATACACGTTTGCAGATGGTTTATTTTTATAATGTGAAGACTTAGTCTTTAAGTTATTTAGGTTGATAAGAATTACAGGTTAATAGTCACTCATGCTTGTCATATTTATAGTCATGTTAGTTAGATTTTCTAGATATACAGAAATACATGTCGGTGTTTGGGTGGGAGCTCCACCTCAACCCCTGGTACCCTGGTATCCCTATACCCAAAGAGTCTGGAATGTTCTGGTGGAAGATCCACCTCAACTCCCTTCCCCCATCTCTTTCCCCAAACCCGCTCCTTCAAAGCCCGCCAAACACAGCTCCTCCCCCAGAGAGGCTCAAGACCACTCCCACAGGGTATATAAGCTGCATCCCAGAAAACAGACACGTGGTTCTTCCTGTCTCTCATCCCGGTCTCCTCTGTGAGGGGCTGGGGAATCACCAGGGAACGCTTTACCCATTAAACCTGGGCTTTTCCTGATTCGGTCTGATTTGGATTGCTGTTTGGGAGGAGAGGCCTATCAGGGTGCAAAAAAACTTATCAGTCGGATGGATAGGTAATCTTCAAACACTTCACAGACCTAGAGAATATGGCATTTAAATGAATAACTTAGAATTCTGTTGACATGAGACGTGATTGCTCCTGGCAGCACCGATCTACTCCTGAGAGGATGTTGGGCATTGAAGACACTCCATATGGAGTTTGTCTTCTTTTTGGGAAAAAAATGGCCTGTTGGGCAAAGAACTGCCCTTGCCTCAGCTGCTGATAGTAAGCATGCTGTCCATTCTGGATGAGCAGGACACAAGGAAAAGCGACTCCTGAACCTTGTTAAGACAGGGTAAGACAGTCTTTCAAAATATCCTGCTTCTGAAAATGGTCTGCCTACATATTCTAAGCCTATAGCCAAAAGTGGATATCCCAGCGTTGAAGAGAAATATTGAGTGACTGTCCAGGCAGCCAGCTGTCTCTGTCTTTTCTTACATTTTTTTTCAGAAGTTGCTGGCTTGCAATTCCTGTTTACTCAAGTAATATTTTTCTTCTCAGGTCTTTGATGGGGTTGAAGACTAGATGGTTTGTGGGAGTCCACAGAGGTTTCCTAGTGAGATCTGAGCTTGTTTTACCCAGCAGGACTGCGTAAGAGGATGACTGGACCACAGGCCTGGGTACCAGGTGTTTGGAAGGGTCTACACTTGGCTGTATCTAGCAGGGGGAGGTCTTTTGCCTTGCCCCTTGGCATCATTATAAAAAGCCCTTCTGAATAAAGTTCTGTGCCGTTGGGTATTGACCCAGGTCCTCCTGAAGCTATCCTGTGTTTCTTTCTTCTTCCTCTTGGCTAGGCCTATCATTCTATCTGTAAGTTCCTTATTCTTCTCTTCTCCTCATAGGAATCCTGGAAAAGGTGGGGGCTGGTCTCCCACAATAGAATCCTCTCACATCTTAGCTAAGATCATATCAGGTACTAGATTTAGAATCTTCAGGATGGGACATTTACTGGAGTAATCTCTGTAATTTGCCATTTACCTATAGTCTGTACATTTATTATGTGTTTCTTGCTTGATGTTCTTGTTGGTTGTAGTTCCATTTTTGTTTATGTTATTACTCTTTCTTTCTCCTGGACAATACTTGATAATCGTTCTTATTGTACATAGTTTTGTATTAGGTTGAGAACCTTCTTTAGACAAAAGGGGGAAGTGTAGTGGGAACTTGATCCGCCCATGACCTTGGGCTATCTGGCCTGATAGAGGCAGTGCTTCTTATCTGCCTCGTGACCTCTTTTAAGACCTCCCTTTTAAGGGAGGAGAAAGGGTAACCTGCTCTTGGGTGGAGAAGACAGGATCAGCATGAAGCAGCGTGTGATGGGTCCCCAGCTTTCCAAGGACTCTGCAACTGGATTTACTTTATCCTGTATCAGTGAGTCTGTTTTCCCCATAGAACCCCTTAATAAACTGACCATAATAAATAAATATATAGACCACTGAGTTTCTCAATACAGAAGCCCCTGCAGTGACGGAAAGAAACAATAACAGAGTAAAAGTCTCTATGGAATGGAGAGGCAGGAAAAATGGACACCCGTAAGTATCACTTTTGGATGAATCTGGTTTTCATATCAGAGCCTGCACAAAACAGGTTGTGTCACAGCAGCGAGGTGCCCCCTTTCCCCGGATCCCAGGCCCTGACATACTAGGGAAACTACCATTGAGCTACAGCCCCAGACCTTTCAAGTTTTACTTAGCGGGTGGGGCTGGAGAAATGGTTCAGCAGTTAAAAACAGTGGCTGCTCTCACAGAGGATTCCAGTTTGACTCCCAGAAACTGCATGGTGACTCACAACCAGCTGGAACTCCAGTTCCACGGTATATTAGTGAGCGGTTTTATCACTGTGATAAAACACCATGACCAAAAGCAACGTGGGTGGTGGTCACGGGGAGGTTTATTGTATATTACACTTCCGCAGAAACACAGGCAGGGGCCATGGAGGGATGCTGCTTACTGGCTTACTGTCGGGGCTTGCTCAGCCTGCTTCCTTATAGCACCCAGGACCACAGCTCAGGGGTGGCACCACCCACAGTGAGCTGTGCCCTCCCACATCAATCAAGAAAATGCATCACGTGCTTGCACACAGTGCCACCTGGTGGGGGCATTTTCTCAATTGAGGGTCCCTCTCCCAAAATGATTTTAGCTTCTGTAAAGTTGACATAAAACTAGCCAGCATATGGGGGGATCCCACTCCCTCTTCTGGTCTCCACAGGCACTAGGTGCATATGCCCTACCATGCACAGTTGGGAATCACATCCTGGTCCTTTGGAAGAGCAGCCAGAGCTCCTCACCAGGTGCACGGACATACATGCAGGCAAAACACCAACACACACACAAATATTTAAAAAAAAAAAAAGAAAAAGAAAAAGAAAAAAGAGAACTTGCTCTTAGAGGTTACTTCAGGAAGCTCACAACTGCCTGAAGCTCCAGGACCAGGGGTTCCAACACACTCTTCAGGTCTCCAAGGGCATTGTACATGCAAACACACAATTTAAAAAAAAAGTTCTAAATTTATTTTTATTTCTGTGCCTGTGTATGCACACACATCACATACAGATAATGGTGGATGGCATAAGAGGGCGTCTGATCTCCTGGAGCTGGAGTTGTAGGTGGCTGAGAATCAATCACTTGATGCATGCAGGAAACTAAACTCCAGTTGTCTGCAAGAGCAGTGAGCGCCCTTCATCACTGAGCTATCTCTGCAGCCCCCAGATTTTTAGAAGTTAAGTTTATTCCACTGTTCAGAGAATTCCAGTCCAGCAAGGAAGAAGATGAATTAAAGCAAGAAAGTGCAACAGTGATTTCCAAACGAGTGTGCGCTCTACTTGCTTCATTCAAACCCAGAAATTTAATCGAAGGGCTGGGCAGAGACCCAAACAGTAAAAAGCCAGGAGTGGGCAAACAGCTTAGTTTGTAGAGCATTGGCCTGTGAGGTCCAAGGCCCTGGGTTCAATCTCCAGACCTGGGGAAAAAAGTGAAAACCTATGTATAACGTCAGAGCAGGACGGTGTGCTCAGACTTTCCTGTTCAAGACTAAGAGCCAGAGGTCAAGGAGAATCAGGACCAGACAGGACCGGCTTACCTACTCTTGAACTCACAGCAGCTGTGGTTGCCTCGCTGAGACCTGCACAAGATCAGGCCAGGTATCATTCCAGCCTGGCGGGGGAGGGGCTCAAGAGCACCCATCACTATCTGAGGAGCTGCTGCCGCTGGCGGCTTCTGAGGGAGTAAGAGTTAGTTTTCTTTACGGGTGGCAGGCTGACCACGCTCCGGTGGATGGCCGCAGACCAGAGACTACAGGGGCTGCAAAGCTGGACTTGGTAGATTAAAAGTGGTAAGAGGTGGGGGCGGGTCTGGGAGGAGTTACGGAAAGAATGTTTGTGGGAGGGAGCGGTAGGCGGCCAGGACCAGGACCGGACAGACAGAGCAGCTCAACTCAGGGTGGCCAGGCGGCGGAAACAGAACCTGTGCGATTGGCTTTATCCTTCCCCTCACATCCCATCCAGGCCCCGCCCACACTTACAGCTGCTCTTCCAGCTTAGTTCACACTTTCTGGAAACTCTATTTCGCGATCTAGGTAGGGCTTCTCAGTCCAGTTAAGGTGACAATCAAGCTAACGCACGTTACACTCTCAGTGGCAGGAACGCTATTACCCAACTTTGCAATTATGCTTTTTAATGATAACAAGAGAATAAATTAATCCCCATAGTGTAGAGACCCACAGAGGTTTCTTAGTGAGAATTTACTCAGGGTCTGAGACTCTGAGCTTGCTTTCCCCAGCAGGGCTGCATAAGATGACTTGACCACGGCCGTGGTTACCAGGTGTTTGGAAGGGTCTGCATTTGGCTGTGCAGAGGGGGAGGTCTTTTGCCCTTGGCATTGTTATAAAAAGCCCTTTAGAAGAGGCAGAAGGGGCCAGTGGGTTTTGATCCAGGTCCTCCTGAAGCCATCCTGTGTTTCTGTCTTTCTCTTCACTATCTTTCTATCTAAGTTTCTTATCCCTCTCTTCTTCTCATAGGAACCATTTTAAAAGGTGGGAGCTGGCCTCCCACACCATAGTATTTATAAGTTTCAAATACTTTTGAAAAGAAAAATGATACATAATATAAAGATCTAGAAGTAAATAATTTATTTTAAAGAAACTTTCCCCATATCAACATAAATAATATCATTATATGCATTCTCAGGTAGAGTCAGAAATTTAAAAAAATTTGAAAAACAAAACTGAAATTCTGGCACAATTTAAGATTCTGGACCCTGGGTGGAAAGTGGTAGCGCACACCCTTAATCCCAGCACTCGGGAGGCAGAGGCAGAGAATCTCTGAGTTTGAGGCAAGCCTGGTCTACAGAGGGAGTTCCAGGACAGCCAAGGCTACACAGAAAAACCCTGCCTCAAGAACCAGACAAAAGAAAAAAAAAGGGTTCTATGCCCTGAAGAAATCCAGTTTATAAGCAGGAATGCTGATTGTACAAATGACCTGGACAGTCATTTGGAACTAGGTCTTTTTCATTTCTCCACTTAAAAACAGTAACACTTGAGCCAGGAGTGGTGGGCACATGCCTTTAATCCCAGCACTCGGGAAGCAGAGGTGGAGTGATCTCTGATTTCAAGGCCAGCTTAGTCTACAGAACACGTTCCAGGACAGCAAGGACTACATAGAGAAACCCTGTCTCAAAAACAAAAACAAGCAAACAATAACTAAAAAACAAACAACAGAAACAAAATAAGCAAACAATAACAAAAACAAACAAAAAACTAAGACCACTTAAGACACCGAAACTAAAAGTTATTCAGACTTCAAAACAAGTGGTTGGTCTGGTTAGCTAATTAATAAAACTAAATTCCTTTTTTGTTTTTCTTCTCTGTTTTTAGGTAGTGTCTTGCTATGTAATGGAGGTTGGTCTTGAGGCCATGGGCTCTAGCAATCTTCCTAGCTCAAACCACTGGAATAGCTATGACTACCACATGTGCCACCACACCTGGGGACCTGGCCAACTATTTTTTAGGGAGGAGAAATGAAAATTAAAATGTATTATATGCCTAAGTTATGAGAGAATTAGACTACTGAAAGTGAAATTCTTCAGTCCCATGTTCCAGCCCTAACTACTGATCTAAATCACCAACCAACGATGAATGCAGCTGAGCTCTAATGTTCATCAGCTCTAAGGTGTGTTGCTCTGAGAACCAAGTCCTCGGGGTAAGAGAGTGAAGCACCCCTTCAGGGAGTGAGTGCGCTTTTGACAGACTCTGGAACTCGGCTTGCGTAGTACTCATAATTCCTCAGTGCGGCCAGGACTCCTGCCGAGTTCATGTGCTTCACCTCCTTGTTGTACTGGAGGGCGTTCCCGTGGATGTCCGTCAACTTCCCTGCAGGAGAGCGGCACACAGTTACCGGTTAGCTGGGTCAGGATGCTCCAAGGGTTCTCTGGAGGACAGGATGGGGGGCAGTACTGAACCCCAGGGCTCACACTAAGCACACGGTTTACCACTGAGCTGTATCCTAACCCACTCTAGTTATTCTTTAATGACTTTGTAGAATGTTTGTCCTGGGGATTGAACCTATGGTTTCATGCACACTAGACAAGCACTGTACCACAGAGCTACACCCCCAGCCCTTCTTGTTTTTATTTTTGAGAACAAGTCTGAGATGTCCAGGCTTGACTGTTTTTTTTTTTTAATTTATTCTTCTTTCATATATTACATCCAGATCAGTTTCCTCTCCCTTCTCCCCACCTGGTCCCCCCTCCCTTTTTTAAACAAGATCTCACCATAAAGCCCTGGCTGGCTGGGAACTTAGTAGGTAGTCCAGGCTAGCCCTGAACTTACAGTGATCTTGGCTGTACCTCAGGAGTTCTAGGATTACAGGTCTGTTGCATCCCGATATCCTCCTGACTCCCTCAGAACTAGAGATTGGACCAAGTGCCTCCTGTATGCCAAATGTGAGCTTTACCACTGAACTGCAGCCACATGCTCGTAGGTTGTATTTCTTTCTCCTTCTTTATTTATTTTTAAATATTTATTTATTAGAGTTAGGGTTAGGAAAAATAATAAATATTTTATATGCATAGTGTTTTGCCTGCATGTGTGTATTGTACCCTGTAGCGTGAATCCTAATTGGTCTTAATAATAAAAACCCGGAGTCAGATACTGGGGTGAAAGCTGAAAGATCAGAGAAGCAGAGCAGCCAGCCACTAGAGAGACTTCTTACCTCTGCTGAGTCCTCAGACTGAAAGGGCCCAGCTCCTGTTTCCACCCTGCCTTATCACTTCCTCTCTGTGCTCAGTCATATCACTTCCTGTTTCCTCCTCCCAAGTGCTGGGATTAAATGTGAGTGCTATCACTGCCTGGCTCCTAGTGGCTAGCTCTGCACTCTGATGTCCAGGCAAGCTTTATTTGTTAGAGCACAAACAAAATATCACCACAGTACACCATACGAGCCTAGTGCCCTTGAAGGTCAGATGAGGGCACCATATCCACTGGAATCGGAATTACAGATAGTTGTGAGCCGTTGTGTGGACGCTGGGATCTGAACCTGAGTCCTCTGCAAGAACAACCAGTGCTCTTGACCACTGAACCATCTCTTTAGCCAGGCAACTGAATTTCTTGGGATCAATCTCTTTTACTATACAGTGTACTTCCCAAAATGTTTTCTGTTTGTCCGTCTGTCTGTCTTAGTCAGGGTTACTTCTGCTATGATGAAACACCATGACCAAAAGCAACATGGGGAGGAAAAGGTTTATTTGGCTTACTTACCTGAATCACAGTTCACTGAGGGAAGTTGAGGTAGGAACTCAAACCAGGTAAGAACCTCTGGAGGCAGGAATTGATGCAGAGGCCATGGAAGGGTATTGCTTACTGGTTTTCTTCCCATGGTTTGCTCAGCCTGTTTTCTTACAGCACCCAGAACCACCAGCTCTAGGATGACACCATCCACCATGGGCCCTCCCCATTAATCACCAATTAAGAAGATGCCTTACAGGCTTGCCTATAGCCTGATCTTATGGAGACATTTTCTCAATCAAGGCTTCCTCCTTCAGATGACTTTAGCTTGTATCTAGATGACATAAAACTAGGGCCTCATACATATCAGCCTGGTGCTCTACCATGGGGGGGCCTCATACATGCCAGCCTGGTGCTCTACCATGGGGGGGCCTCATACATGCCAGCCTGGTGCTCTACCATGGGGGGCCTCATACATGCCAGCCTGGTGCTCTACCATGGAGTTATAATCGACCTCCATCATCTATTTTCTAATTTTTTTTTTTTATTATTATTATTATTTTACAACACCATTCAGTTCAACATAATAGCCACAGAATCCCCTGTTCTCCCCCTCTCGCCCACCCCTCCCCCCAGCCCACCCCCCATTCCCACCTCCTCCAGATCAAGGTCTCCCCCGAGGACCGGGGTTGAATATTTTCTAATTTTTAAAGATAGGGTCTTGTATTAAAAAAAAAAAATTCATTCTGTGTGTGTGTGTGTGTGTGTGTGTGTGTGTGTGTGTGTGCGCGCAAAAGTCAGAGGGGGCGTTACAGGTGGTTGTGAACCACCAGATGTGGGTGCTGGGAACTGAATTCATGTCCTCTGGCCAAGCAAGAAGTGCTGAGTTTCTAAGCCAGGGTGACATAATGAGTCCCAGGCCAGCAAGGGACACAGTGAGATCTTCTCTTAATGAAACCAACAAATAGCAACAACAACAAAATAAGAGTTTGATTAACTCTATGAAGATGAAATTCCATTCTTACTAAAGACTATAAACTAAAGAAAATTAAGTTTGTTGAAATATCCTTGCTGACACAAAGATGATGGGTTTGGGCGGATCATCTCTAGGCTTCCGTCCAGCATCTACATCCTAGGAATCTCGGTGAAGAATGTTAGCTGAGGGCTGGAGAGATGGCTCAGCAGCTAAAAGGGTTCATGGCTGCTCTGCCAGAGGATGTGGGTTGATTCCCAGCATCCACAAGGAAAGCTTATGGCCATCTGTAACTCTAGTTCTAGGTGACCCAACACTCTCTTCTAGCCTCCAAGGGTACCAGGCATGCATGTGGTACATAGACATATTTCTAAAAAAGTGGCCATTGCTATATAACAGACATATATGCAGAACAAAAGACCCATACACATAAAGTTACAAAAAATTACTGAAATATAATATCTGAGTACAATATAAAAACCAGAATTCTCCAAGATAGCTGGACTCACCTCCCACAGCATGTAAGATAACTTCTGGGGCACAGGTATCCCACTTCTTACAGCCAGGACTTGCAAATACATAAGCAGAGGCTTTGCCTTCAATCAGCTGGATGATCTGTGAGGTGGAAAGTAATAATTACCTCCAAGCTGCCAATAGGAAAAACCGAGGATGCCCATTGAAGACATCTCATCAATTCCTGTCAGACTTAGATTAAAGCCCTAAGCGGATTAAAAGATACCAGCATTATAAAAAATTAAACAGGTGAATAATAATACATGGTAATCTAAAGAAAAAAATATGGAAAAAATATGGCCAAATAAGCCACAATCTATAGTCCAAGTTAGATTAAGTTTTCTTATTTCCATGGTTTTTCTTTTTTACTCTAATGGAAATACATATTCACTATTGGACAAGTAATGTTTTTAAATTTCTAAAACACTGTCCATTGCTAAGTAACAGAGAACTATTCCCAAGCCCACAGCGGACAAGCCCAGCAGGTGCACTGCTCTGGCTAGCTTAACTAGTACTTTCAGAGACTGCAGAACCCTCACCCCTGGCTTCTCCCACGACTCCATTAGGAACCATCATTATTGACTGTATTACTTGGTTTCTCTGAGACAGAGGCTCCTGCAGCCCAGGCTGGCCTCAAACTTGATTTATAGCCACAGATAACCTAGAACTCCTTTTCCTCCTGCTCCATCTCCCCAGTGCCGGGACTGCAGGTCCGCAGCGCCACACCTGGCTGTGGTTTGCATTTAACGGCCTCAATCTGTGAGTACTAGACTGAGTAGAGAGCGCATTCTGCAGGAGGCACTTCGTTCAGTGACAGAAGACGGCAGGGCCAACAGGACATGTCCTTGGTACCTTGTTTCCTGCTCCCCCCACGCGTAGCACATTGTCAGGATTCATGGCCGCAACGCAGTCTGTGACCAGCTTGTTGCTGTGGGACCTGGTGGTCGTGATGATGTGCTTCCCAGCGGGCACTTCTTTCAGCTGAAACCCAAAAGCACCCAAACCCAGAACTCCCCAGATGGTCCTGCCCAGCACAGCATCCGGGCCTGCCTGTGGGAATGACAACAAAGCTCACCGTCACCAGACAAAGATGTCACCCACAAAGGAAACAGTCAGCCTCACTTGGCTGAAGTTACCAAGTCTGTAATATATGTTTTTGAATTACAAAAGTAAAAACACACAATGTTTAATTTAAAATATAAGGGCAGTGAATAGACAAAAGAATTTATCCTGATGATAATTTGATTATGGTCATGGCTGCTTTGGTCAACCGTTTCAAAGAAAGGGGACACTTTTGTCCTCAGGAGAGTGACCTTCCTACTCTAATTGCTGTTTCTTTTGGAATCATCCACTGATCTGCCTGTTAAACCGAAAATAGCAATTTTCAAACATATTGAAGTTCCAGGAAGTGCAACTGTGTACTGATCAATATCAGAGTACTAATGTAACGATCATATATACTTTCATTATTCAAGGAACAATAGGAACTGCGTTTCCTAAGTGAGGATGCATTATGCTGCCACAGACACAGCAACCAGGTTGATGCTAAGAAAGCTGTGGCCAGTGGAGACGGGACTAAGATTTTAATGATAAATGCCCCAATAGAACTAAATGACAGCACAATCTTAGAATCTGTGTTTTCCTTTGTGGAGCCCAGAAACTTTTCCAACCATGCTGCTAAATACTCATATTTCAGAAAAAGTGAAATTGATGCTAACACACAAAGTCCAAACTCAACACAGTTTCCTATCAGTCTGGGAGGTGTACCGTGAGAAAAGGCATATGATTCACCCAACAAGGATGGGTCAGCATCACACGAAGTTCCTTATGCATGCATTAGCCCATCCGATACTCAAAGCAACCCCAGAAAGTAGATGTTGTTATCCTTAACAATGAGATTTAGAATCAGTTAATAAACTGACCCAGGAGCTTAGGAAGTTCCTCTCAAAGTCCAGCTCATCTAGGTTCAGAGCTCTTTTTGTTTCATTTTATTTTTGGAGACATGGTCTCGATATGCAGCCATGGCTAACAGGAACTGTAATAGGCCAGGCTCACCTCGAAAAGACTTTTTTTTTTTTTTTCGAGATAGGGTTTCTCTGTGTAGCTTTGCGCCTTTCCTGGAAAGACTTACTTATTTTTATTTTTATTTTTTATTTTTTATTTTTTGAGATAGTGTTTCTCTGTAGAGCCTTGGCTGTCCTGGAACTCACTCTATAAATCAAGCTGGCCTGGAACTCATGGAATCCACCAGCCTCTGCCTCCTGAGTGCTGGGATTAAAGGCGAATGCCATCACTGCCTGGCAAAAAGACTTGTTTTCAATTTATGTGTTTGAGTGTTTGCCGACATGTATGTATGTGCACTATGTGTGCCTCAAACTAGAGTTCCAGATGACCATGAGCAGCCACGTGGGTGCTGCTGATAACCCAACCTGGGTCCTCTGCAAGAGCAGTAAGTGCTCCCAAATGCCAAGTCTGAGAAGCTTCTGATTTTGCTTTGCATTGTTGTTTTTGAGATGGGGTCTCACTGCATTGCCCTAGATGGCCTTGAAACGATGTTGCTGCCCCAGCCTTCCAAGTAGGTGGAACTACAGGTCACTGCCACTGTGTCCATCAAAGCAGGCACTGGGCAACCTGAGCTGACGTGTTCAGATGTTTTCAACGTCATCACTTCTTTGTCCTAGAGAAGTACACTGGGCTTTTGGGGTGAAACAGGCTTATGCTGCAGGCTGTGTGCCCTGGGAAGAGTCAAGGGCAGGGGGTGGGTATCAAGGAGTGTGTGTGGGATCAGCAGCTGTAGGAAACACTGTGGACAGAGGGGAAATGGGCTGCAATGTGGCCAGGTGGCAGCTCTGCCTGGGACTATGGGGGAACACTAGAGCTCAGGCAGTTCTTCAGAGCGGCCCCAAATCCACACCTGCACTTTCTGGTCATGAGAAACAGACTGCTTTGGGAAGGGTTGTGACCTGGGGTGGGGTGGGAAGGCTCTTCATAGGGGAAGCATTCCCTGAGGAAGCTGACTGTTGGCTGTGTCTCCTGCCATGGAGTACCAGAGGAACCCAAACTAAGAACCAGCTGCTTGGAATGTCAGTGTGTATCCTCTCTTTCCTCCTGACTATACCGATAACTCTCGATGGCAGCTCCAGGCGCTTTTGCCCGTAATTCAACACTTAGAAAGTAGAAGCAAAAAAAAAAAAAAAAAAAAAAAAAAAAGAAAGTAGAAGCAGAAAAATTGTTTGTTCAAGACAAACCTGGGCTACATAGTGAGTTCCACACCAGCATGGGAAACACAACGAGAGTCTATTTCAAAGAGAAAGAGTCAGCTGGGTGGTGCACGCCTTTAGTCCCAGCACTTGAAGCAGGCAGATCTCTGTGAATTCGAGGTCAGCCTGGTCTACAGAGTGAGTTCCAGGACAGCCAGAGCTCTACACAGAGAAACCCTGTCTCGAAAAACAAACACACAAAATGCAAGGAGTTCATACTGCCTTTGTGAATCAAGAAGACAGGAGGGCCGCCCTGAGGCCCTGCTGTCCTGCTCTCCCCTGGGCTCCTGATCTGAGGTGTCCTATTCTTTCCTGCAAAGGATCCACGGGGAGGCCAGCACTTCTCCTTCAGATGAGGGGTTACTGTTAACTCTGGGTAAGAAGCTAGCTCCAACATAAAGACAGATGGAGTTTCATGGTGTTTCCACATGTCAGTATTTACTAGAATCAAAAATAAACTTTTAGTTGTTCAGTTTTTTACCTTGCTCAAGAGAGCAATAGAGAATAAAAACAGGGCTTTGAATCCCAGCTCTGCTGCTTACGCAATGGGTGACAGTGGCAAGTTCAAGGCTTCAGTTTCCGTGTCTGTGTGTGTGTGTGTGTGTGTGTGTGTGTGTGTGTGTGTGTGTGT